ACACTGGCAAGGAGTGTGAGCAAGTGCTAAGTGTGTGTGTGTGTGTGTGTGTGTGTGTGTGTGTGTGTGTGTGTGTGTGTGTGTGTGTGTGTGTGTGAGAGAGAGAGAGAGAAAGAGAGCAAGAGAGTTAAACACATAACACATTTTTTTTGGGTAGAGTTGTAATACATTTTCATCCTTCCTCCCTCTAGGGCAGCAGTATGTCCGAAACCAAATCCAGCCAGCGGTTCCACAGCCTGAATGCCGAGCAGGTGGAGGTTCTCCATCAGGTCCTTTCCGAGGTGGTCCCTATCCACGGACGTGGGAACTTCCCCACGCTGGAGCTGCGTCCTCGAGACATCATCATAGCCGTGAGGACCAGGCTGCAGAAGCAGGGGATCACTGTGAGAGATGTGCGCCTGAACGGCTCCACGGCCAGTCACGTCCTCGTCCGAGACAACGGGACAAGCTACAAAGACCTGGACATCATCTTTGGAGTGGAGCTGCCTAGTCAGGAGGAGTTCCAGGTACGATTAGTGTGGTGCTTAGTTGTAGGAAGGAAGCAGGTCAGTGTAATTAGAGGAAAGCATTAGGGTTCATTCTGCTGTAATATCTGTAAGCACGGCAGTAAATATCTACTCTCTCTGGGGTGTTGCAGCATTGATTTCTGTTATGCTATAGTCATTATGATGTTCTTGTAATCGTAAAGACAATCTCATTGCAGAATATTTAACATTAAGGCTGATTGAATAGTAGTGATTTTGTTTTTTTAACTTCATTATACAGAAACCACAGGAGTCTCACAGTATTCCCATTTAATAATACAAGCAGAAATGCAAAAAGATTGCAGTCATTAGTTGTGGGTGTCATGTTGTTGACCTCCTCTTTTCCCAGGTCATTAAGGAGTCCGTGCTGGGCTGCTTGCTCGACTGCCTCCCTGCCGGCGTCAACAGGGAGCGGATAAGCAGTGCGACAATGAAGGAGGCCTACGTCCAGAAAATGGTGAAGGTCTTCAATGAGCACGACCGCTGGAGCCTCATCTCCCTCTCAAACAACAGCGGCAAAAACCTGGAGCTGAAATTCGTGAGCGTGCTGCGGAGGCAGTTTGAGTTCAGTGTTGACTCCTTCCAGATCATTCTGGATCGCCTCCTGGAGTCCTACATGCAGCAGGAGTCACGGCACAGAAATAATAGAGTTGAGCTGAAGGAGCAGGAGAGTCAAAGTAAAGCCTCTCATTCTCCACTCAAACAGGCCACTGCTCCAGAAACAGAGAGGCCCGCTGGTGGAGAATCATCCAGCAAAGAGGGGGCTCAGGTTAGCCAGACGCAGCAGAAAGATGAGGTGCATGAGAAGGAGTCGCAGACAGACCTCTTACAACAGACTGAAAATTCAGATCAGACAACACAGTCTAAAGTGGAAGAAGATGAAAAAGACAAAACACCTGCAGACCTGAAGGACATGTCACAACACAAGGAGACAGAAGTCTCTGACCAGACAGACCCTTTGTCAGAAACCTCTGCGAAAACTGAAACACCAGCTCAGATTCAACTCACACAGGAGCCGGAGCTCTTTGACGAGACCGAATGCTCAACACAGGTAGAAGAGTCGGAGCAAACCCAGCCCTGTGACAGCCCACAACCAGCACAATCAAACCATAAGGAGCCCCCTGTCCAGAAAGAACTGTCCGACCACAGAAAACCACCTGATGAACAGAAAGGTCTCACAGAGCAGATGGGACAGTCCGAGTTGCCAAAAGCCTCAAACAATAGGCAGGCAGAGGAATCACACACACCAGACTCAATGACACACACTGATAAATCAGACTTCTGTGAGAGTTTCAGTGAGGATCAGAGGAACAATGAGAAAGATAGCACAGAACGTGTGTCTGCTCCAAACACTGCAGCCTCTCCACATGCTAAAGAAGAGACACAGTCAGAAGATGAAAGAAATGTTGAAACGGAGACAGGCGAGCAGATAGAAGCAGAGAGGAAAAATGGATCAGAAACAAGCGAAAAGACAGAAGAGGTTTCAGCACCAGAAGCAAAAAACGTAGGAAACACACAGGGAATTGATTGTTCCTGCTCCTTCTCTTCAGTATCTCTAACATTTCACAACACACAGGATACACCGGAGATTCACAGCACAGCACACACAGATTACTCAGAAAAATCCCCCAGCGTACTTGATGCCGATATCCCTCCAGATACTCAGGATATTTCCCCTGCACCGCCCAGCCTTGTTTCTGACAAAAAGACCTCCTCCTCTCCTCCCTCCTGTAAGGCCTCAGAGAGACTGTCTCACATGGTGGTGCTCAAACACTCCTCCCCCAAACCCCCCCGCAGGATGTGCAGGAAGGTTACCCCGAGTCTTTACCCCACTCTGGTGTCTGAAAGTGAAGCTATCACACTGTTCTGTCTCGATCCAAACCCCTGCGCCAGCCCTGAACTTGATGTAGCCTTAAACCCAGAGTCGACAGCTCCCTGTTCAGATGCCACAATTATCACAACAACCGGTATCTCTGCGAAAACAAACCCTGAGTCTGAATCCAACCCTTCCACTAACCTACCTTCAAACCCAGACCCTACCTCAGCTCCTGATGCAGCCCCTGATATCTCAGCTTCCACTGTGGAACCCACATTATTACCCCAAGAGCCGCCACCCTCCTCTCAGCCAGTTGCAGAGGGTTCATGTGAGACAAGTATTCAGAGCTTTGAGGAGACACTATCTAAACACGAGGTGTTTGATGAGCAAAGCCAGTCCTCGCATGGAGAAACTATCTCTACTCCCAACCAATCAGAGCCTCTAGACTCAGCGGACAGATCAGTTTCACACACCAATGTATCCACCTCAAGTATCCAAGAACCTGCACATACCTCAGAAGTTGAGCTCGGTATTGAAGATGAAAACAGAGAGACCCAAGAGACGGAACCAAATCAGCCCAACAATAGCCCACAAGAGATCGTACTCACCCCCGTTTCCTGTCTCACCCCTCCCTTACTCAGCCTCTCCCCTCCCTGCTTCACCCCCTCGCCCCCCAGCCTCAGCCCTCCCCAATGTCTAAGCCCTCCCCCTCCACTGCCCAGTGTCGTCGGCCTCGCCACCAGCTTTAGCTCCCAGCCCCTGAGTTTCAGCCCTACCTCATCCTGTCTCAGCTCGCCTCCGTACCTCACTCCCCCTATGCTCAGCCTTAGCCCTCCCCCACTATGTCTCACCCCACCTTCCCCCTGCCTCAGCCCTCCCCTCCTCTGCCTCACCCCACCGGTGGAGGCTGAGGATCTCGTTCCTCAGGTATCTCCAGACACAGAGCCTTTGATATTGAACACTGACAGCAAGGAGCAGATTAAAGAATCATCCGCTCAGCCACAAGTTAGTCTAGTGCAGTTGGAGGATAAAAAGGATGATTATATCTCACCATTGCCTGGGGTTGCAGAGCCTGTCTCTTTTCCGATCACCATCCCGAGCTCCACCTCGCCTGTGCTGCCTCACTCTCAGTCTGGAAGCCCAGGGGAATCTGGCCCTCCAAAAGCTGATGAGGCTTCTAGCTTGGTGCCTGAGATCAGAGAGGCCCCTGAGGTAACCGCTGACATGCCTGAAGAGAGCATTGCTCCTTGGGCGTCTGGCTCAGTCCCTGCTGTTGAGGTTCTAGCAGAGAGCATGTACGGTGACTTCAAGGCAGCCATGGACCACCTGCGCTACCGCCTAATCGCCACCAGGAACCCTGAGGAGATTCGGGGTGGTGGCTTGTTAAAATACAGCAACCTGTTGGTCAGGGACTACCGACCAGCCAGCGAGACTCAGATAAAGACACTGGAGCGCTACATGTGCTCACGCTTCTTCATCGATTTCCCTGATGTGCAGGAGCAGCAGAGAAAGATCCTATCCTACTTGAAGAACCACTTCATCGGCGAGGAGAGGAGCAAGTACCAGTACCTGATGACGCTGCGCCGCGTGGTGGACGACAGCACGGTGTGTCTGATGGGACACGAGAGGCGCCAGACACTGAATATGATCACAGTGCTGGCGCTGAAGGTTCTAGGAGAGCAGAACATTATTCCCAACACAGACCATGTGACATGCTTCTACCAGCCTGCCCCTTACCTTGCAGAGCACAGTGCCCCCTATCTAGCAGAACCCAGCTACTGCAGCTACTACATACCCCAAGGGGGATCAACTCTGCTTTACCAACCTTACCCCTTACACCTGCACACACAGACTGGACTAGTGTAAAGCACACACACACACACACACACACAC